CGAAACGAAGGCCGTGGACACGACCGCCAGAGACCCGGAGCCGGTGGTCGCCACCAAGTCGTCCAACAGGTCGGCGAACGCGAGGAATGCCAACAAAGAGGCGCAGGCGGCCGCTCAACAGCAACCGCCGGCCCCACCGGTGCCGCCGCAGCAACACATGCCTCAACCGGCACAGCCATCGCAGCCAACGATCACTCAATTACATCCACAGCAGCCAACGATCGTCACGAACAACAATCATCACCCGATGCCAGTCAACCAGACACCCGGTGGTCCGACGCACGTACTACAGGCCGGCACTAACATAGTGTTGGGCCCGTCGGGCATCAACTACACCACCGCCGCCGCTCAAGGAGATGGCGTACGTGTCTTATATAGTGTGTGGTGTTTGGGATCCATTTGCGGTCATTAATGATTGTGTGGTTTTTTTTCGTTGTGTTGCGATAATTAGGCGGACAGTCAGAGGAATCCATTGGCGACGAACGCCGGGCCCAAAGTGGTGCTCCTCCAGGGCTCAAACGGCCCGCAATATATTGTGTCCGTACGTATTGGATCTGATTTGACTGCCCAAGAGTTTGGTGGTTATGGTTAATGTGGCGCTAATGATAGTGTTGTTTGTGTGCGTGTTTTAGGGACATCCGGGTCAACCACTAAATATACCGCAAGAGTTTCTAAATCACATTCAGTTCCAGTCGTCGCCCGTCATTACGCAGAGCCAGCCCTCTGTCCTCCATCACACCAGTAGTCAGTATTTGATTATCTCATTGATTGTGATCACCGATTGGTTCCATGGATTGGTTGTAATATGTATTGATTTGTTTGATCCCAAACACAGACGTTAACTTAACTCCAAATACTACTATACAATACGCGGCGGCGCCGGGAGTGGCGAACAGGCAGTCGCCGCAGACCCTACCGACCGGTGCTATCGTGCGTCCGGCGGCTCCGGGAACCGCGGCCAACCGAGTGGTCCAATTGGACGGCGCGAACGATACCAGCGATGAGGACGACGATGACGACGACGGCTATAGGGATAGGGATGACGACGACCACGAAGACAACGACGAAGAGGTCAATGACGACGATAATGATGGACAGGGAGAGGATGAGGTACGCGAGGATTGGTGTTGTGTTTGTGGTTATGATT